GAACAACTTGAGGGGGCCGTAGTACTTTATTAACAACTTCTATGGGCCGCAGTACTTTAGGAACAACATGTAGGAGCCGTAGTACTTTAGGAAAAACTTGTGGGGGCCGTAGTACTTTAGGAACAACTTGTGCAGCCCGAAAGAAAATAGCACAGTTGGGGGGGGGGAACGACACACTATTAGGATAATTATAATAAAAAAGAATATTTCGTTGCTTCGGGGGCCGCAAAGTGGGTCTTGGCGGGGCGTGTGAAGTGTTTCGGGAAAGGTAAGGAAGAATGAGTTAAGGGAGAAGTATCGGAGAATAAGAATAGAGGTAGGGAGAAATATGGGAGATACATGGGAAGGTTAAAGGTGAGGTATGGTTGAGAGTTAAGGGAGAGGTAAATGAGAGACAATGGAGATGATGGGGAAGATAAGAGAGAGATTAGGTAGAGGTATTGGAGATATAAGGGAGATATAAGGAAGAGATAAGGGAAAGGTAAGGTAAGGGGGAGATAAGGAATGATAAGAGAGAGTGAAGGGGGAGATAGGGAGAGGTCAGAGAGGGCAGATAAGGGAGAGGTTAGGAGGAGATGTAAAGGAGAGAAGAAACAATAGAGATGGAAAGTTAAAAATAAGGGAGAGATAAATGAGAGTTAGGGTAGTGGTAGGGTATTAGTGGGGGATAAAAACATTAGGAATTGGTGTGTAAAGGGAGTGGCGTGTTAGAGGGCATTTCAGTTAAGGGAAACGATTAGTTTGTAGTTTAAGGTCCGGGCTGGCGGGTTCAGCTCAGTGGAGTGTAACGTTGGAAGATCCTGTGAGTTAGCAGACTTCAATGGACCTGTGGGTGGGTGGGTGGGTGGGGGGTGAATACCTGAAACAATGAATAGTGGATCACAAAAAATGTACCACGTGATAACATTAAAACAGAATAACGAAACAGGTCGATTCAGCTGTATGTCACGGTTGAACGATTTTGATATAGATCCGTGTTTGTATATTATATGATATTCAGTGGAGAACAAAGGAATCTAACAATGAAATCTAACTCTTGAATCTAAAGCGGGTGGGTGAGGGAAATCGTCTCCTGTACAAGTCTAGGCCTACGCCACCCAGGCAAGGTCTTTAAATACTAAGTTAGAACTTAAGACGATGGAAGGAGAATCGTACTTGACTATAATCTATAAATGTTCAGGAGCATTAAAAAGTAGGACTTCTCATGAAATAGTTTGTGGACATTCGTTGATTTAGTAAGTAGTGGTGATGTCAGAAGAATTTCTTGGACTTTTAGGATTGCCGTGTTTAACCATTGTAATATCGATATTAGAAACTCAAATGTATTCGATACGAAAATATTACCGTACTAAATGATCTGATCCTCTAAACTTGGTGCGCTTTGCTACCTTGTAAATGGAAAGTAAAATAAACTGTAGGCGTAACAGAGGGAACAGGGTGGGTTATGGACTTATTGGAGGCAGTGTCAGAGTGAGGACTGTTATTGTGTCAGAGTGAGGACTGTGTTATTGTGTCAGAGTGAGGACTGTGTTATTGTGTCAGAGTGAGGACTGTGTTATTGTGTCAGAGTGAGGACTGTTATTGTGTCAGAGTGAGGACTGTTATTGTGTCAGAGTGAGGACTGTTATTGTGTCAGAGTGAGGACTGTTATTGTGTCAGAGTGAGGACTGTTATTGTGTCAGAGTGAGGACTGTTATTGTGTCAGAGTGAGGACTGTTATTGTGTCAGAGTGAGGACTGTTATTGTGTCAGAGTGAGGACTGTTATTGTGTCAGAGTGAGGACTGTTATTGTGTCAGAGTCAGGACTGTTATTGTGTCAGAGTGAGGACTATTGTTGTGTCAGAGTGAGGACTATTGTTGTGTCAGAGTGAGGACTGTTATTGTGTCAGAGTGAGTACTGTTATTGTGTCAGAGTGAGGACTGTTATTGTGTCAGAGAGAGGGCTGTTATTGTGTCAGAGTGAGGACTGTTATTGTGTCAGAGTGAGGACTGTTATTGTGTCAGAGTGAGGACTGTGTTATTGTGTCAGATTTAGGACTGTTATTGTGTCAGAGTGAGGACTGTGTTATTGTGTCAGAGTGAGGACTGTGTTATTGTGTCAAGATGAGGATTGTGTTATTGTGTCAGAGTGAGGACTGTGTTATTGTGTCAGAGTGAGGACTGTGTTATTGTGTCAGAGTGAGGACTGTGTTATTGTGTCAGAGTGAGGACTGTGTTATTGTGTCAGAGTGAGGACTGTGTTATTGTGTCAGAGTGAGGACTGTGTTATTGTGTCAGAGTGAGGACTGTGTTATTGTGTCAGAGTGAGGACTGTGTTATTGTGTCAGAGTGAGGACTGTGTTATTGTGTCAGAGTGAGGACTGTGTTATTGTGTCAGAGTGAGGACTGTGTTATTGTGTCAGAGTGAGGACTGTGTTATTGTGTCAGAGTGAGGACTGTGTTATTGTGTCAGAGTGAGGACTGTGTTATTGTGTCAGAGTGAGGACTGTGTTATTGGAATCGGGGCAGTTACTATGGTGATGTAGATACTTGATGTTCAAAAAAGATAATTTAATGGGGGTTTTTAATAATAATTTCACGTTTATTTATTTCACAGAGTGCCAGAAAGAGGAAAAAAATAATTTAAAACACAAGTCGTCGCTCCCTTCTATAAGAGGATAAACAATTTTGTAAAGGATCTAAATTTTAGAATAAATATTTTGTAATGGTTTACCTCCCATAGATACAAAAAGAATCAACAGGAAATTAATTTCCTCCAACTTTCGCCTCCAAAACAAAATATGTATTTTTTTGACCATGTTAGTTAATTATATCGTCCCCCTATGCCAGGACTGACCTCAAGGGGGATAGCTAGTAGTGTTAGCAATAACAGTTATAGCTCTGTTTAGTTATGGTGAGAGGAATGCTATGTCTGTTAGACCAGTCTGTATTCTTTGTACAACAATGACAAATAGTAAGGCAGGTCTCAGAAGAAGGAACTCCTTAACGACTCCAACATCAAGACCTCGGAAGGCTTTCAATTTGCAACCTTTTAAAACACTATACGAAGTAGAACTACTTATTAATATTAACATTTGGGGCACAGTTTAAATGATCTTTTCACCAAGTTTTTTCTAAATAAATTTGTGATGGACAAAAATAACCGTTTTTCGATTTAAAAAAAAAATGTTAACATAATTCACACAAAAAAAAATGTTAACATAATTCACACAAAAAAAATGTTAACATAATTCACACAAAAAAAAGTTAACATAATTCACACAAAAAAAATGTTAACATAATTCACACAAAATAAATGTTAACATAATTCACACACAAAAAAAATGTTAACATAATTCACACAAAAAATGTTAACATAATTCACACAAAAAAATGTTAACATAATTCACACAAAAAAATGTTAACATAATTCACACAAAAAAAAATGTTAACATAATTCACACAAAAAAAATGTTAACATAATTCACACAAAAAAAATGTTAACATAATTCACACAAAAATTTTTTTTTAACATAATTCACACAAAAAAAAAATGTTAACATAATTCACACAAAAAAAATGTTTAACATAATTCACACAAAAAATGTTAACATAATTCACACAAAAAAAATGTTAACATAATTCACACAAAAAAAATGTTAACATAATTCACACAAAAAAAAATGTTAACATAATTCACACAACAAAAATGTTAACATAATTCACACAAAAAAAATGTTAACATAATTCACACAAAAAAATGACTGCTTCCCCCTACGATTTTCTGATTAGCATGTGTCGTGTGTAGCAATTGGTATCAGACACAAATAAAAATCTGTTCAATTTAATATTCATCGTGAACTAATCGAATCTGCACAAAAGAGTGCTGTACATAAACGGATGACACACAACTTTTCGGATGCCATTACAATAATAAGTAGGCGTTAATCTGCATTTTTACGATAGTTTTAATTCAACAATTTTAAAGATACTTTAAATTGCCAGCTGTTCATTGGAATTTATTTATGACTGAAAGGACTGTGACGATTGTCATGTTTTTAATGTATTTTAAAGAGGTCAATTTCAGAGGTATGTGTCATTAATTATTTCCCTTTCTCTCCGGCAGGTTGACGCTAAATAATTAAAGGGACATGACTCAGTAAAGGAGCGGTCCTTTCACGAGAGTGTTCCTAGCAGAGTTACTGAAATATAATACGCTGATCGATACAGTTTCATGATTTATAATGGCATTGGAATGTCAGCCTTTTAAAAATCGTTAATATCTGTGCTTAACAGGCTGTGACAGCCGGACTCTTTGTTGTTGAATATGTGGCTTTTGTGTTGGACGCAATTACATCGTGGCTGACCGCTGTGAAGACTCAGAACTAATCAGCAATAATGTTAATGACAAACTCGAGCTGTAGGAACCAGTGGGTGGCAAAGTCACGTGATTGCACTCGACAATGAGTGGACTTAAACAAAAATAATAGCGTGATCAACATGAATAAGTCTGTTACTCCTTAAACAAGAAGCCAAAAAATATGTCCGTTCACTTCTGATTGAAATGTATTTTAACACACTAACATACGACACGCTTTATGTAAAATAACAAAACAAACAGTACTTAGAAAACTTTTTTTTATAAGAGTAGTGAACTGGAATGTAAAGTGAAAGATTGTTAATTTGCTTCTTGGTTAATTTCAAAGACGAGTGAACCCGCATACAATCATTTTGAGTAATAACTAATTTTAGGCATTCGATTATAATTTTGTGATGGCGTTTGGTAGAAAGGGTATCAGTCGCACCCCGGCCCACCCGCCACACTGGATGAGACAACTTGAAGAGAAATATCAACGGCTTCATGCAAAAATCGCAAGCCAGTCAGGACGACACTCTTCCAGACGTCAGCCAGGACCAGCGGGCAACAATGTCAACACGCCTCGCTTGTCTGCGGACACACGGCCGTTCAACTCTACTAAAGAGAGGATTACGGGGCGGGGGGAGGCCCGGGCGGAGAGCCACGATTCCAGACACGGACATCGACACCGTGAAGACTGTAGCGAGTCAGGGAGCGAGGAATCTGTGTACGAGGGAACTAACGGCACCCTTGAGTTTACCGGCACCGACAGTGGCAACGATAGATTCGGAAATAAAGAAATCACAACATGCGCCGAGGATTTAGAAAGTTGTTTAGAGTCTGAGCTGGTCGCTGTGTCTGAGTTAGAGGCTAGCCGTAATTTCGGCGCACCTCTTCTAGGTTCCCCAGGTCACGTTCTAACTCAGGAAGATGGTGAAAGGCGGTGTGACAACTCTTCACGGGTGAGCTCAACCTGTTTACTTCCCGTGATTGGAAAAGTTCCGGTTTTATTGGAGGTCGAGGAGCGTGACGATGACGTGGAGAGCAATGTGGTTTTCAGAGTGGATTATTCGCCGAAAGTGAGTGTTCCTGACATAGAGGACGCTGAAGACAATCTGGCAGGTACTCAATCTCAGGCTGCAGGTATGGAGGTTAGCGAATATCAGTTACGGAAGAGAGAACATTTACACATGAAAAAATCGGAAAGTCGAAATAGTCACAAAACAACAAAGTCGTGTCCCGCCACCCTGGGCGCCGTTACTACACGTGAAATTACGAGCAGCCATGGCGTCACCGGAAGTCTGGAGGACGTCTACAGCTCAAGAAATCTTGAGTTTCCGTTCGGCCGGGGCTTCTCACACAGAAGTCGATCTAAAGTGTTCGCACATATGTCGCTGGAGGCACGTCACGCTATTGATGAGACTCTGCGAGAAATGAAAGCAGAAGAGGAGCAACAACAAATGAATGACGGCATGGGGCAGACGTTACTTCTGCCAACAGATAACGAGGCAGATCATCCTGACAAAGATATTGAAACGAACGAACAACTCACTGGAACTTCCCAACATGGACTCAACAAGACAACACCGGGAAATTATAATAATGACGACAACTTGGCTGAAAACAATTTCAGAAAAACTCTCAACGCCACCTATCCAGCTGATAACGTCCGTACAAGGACGGACTACTTAAGCGGGCGGATGAGTACAAACAGGAAACTGCCCCAGTTAGATTTTGGGGCCGTTTCGCCGTCTGGCTTTCCGAACCCCCACCAGAGACTGCCAGATATCGGCCGACCGTACGAACCAGTGCATTACGAGCCTGTGCATTACGAGCCTGTGCATTTTCGCGAGAACACGTTCGAAATAACGCCAGTGGATTTTGATATACGGTTTCATCAAATCATTCCGTGTAGCCCCGGGGACTCCCCGCCCCCCGACATACGTCAGCAGTCTATAGAGAAGTGTCAACAGTGGTTAGTACGTCACACGCCCAGACATTGAGCTCAGCTACAAGGTATCAAACACCATATTGTCCATAGTTTATGAGATCACGTCAGAAATCTAATATATGAACTCCAAGTGTGTAGCATTTCAAACACAAAGAGGTGAAGACAGTTTGTGGAGTAATTGTGGAGTAAGGTTTCTTCAATTGTGTAGTTGTAAGTCAGTTGGGCGTGTTACGTTTTTTAGCCATCACCGCACTGAAGAAATATGAATTATACTTAATTTTGCTTCTGTGGACATCGCTATTCACTGTTACTTCTAAAAACTCAAAACATTTACGTACATAAAAGATGATCTAGAGGAACAGAATGAGACACTTTGAAAATAGACATAACGAGGCCCTTTGAACATAGACATAATGAGACACTTTAAACATAGACATGAGACGCTTGAACATAGACATAATGAGACACTTTGAACATAGACAGAATGAGACACTTTGAACATAGACAGAATGAGACACTTTGAACATAGACAGAATGAGACACTTTGAACATAGCCATACGACTTTCTCACCAGATGCTCATCCACGAAGTAAGCAGAAGACCAATAAACATTGACTTAACTGTCAATTGCTGTTGACCAATGAATCTGAGGCAAACCAGTTTAAGAAAATTCAAAAATTTCCAAACAACTTGACAACCGATGGCTCATATGACACGGTCATCACTCAATGGTCTGACTTTGACATGGTCATCATTCAGTGGTCTGACTTGACATGGTCATCATTCAGTGGTCTGACTTTGACATGGTCATCACTCAGTGGTCTGACTTTGACATGGTCATCACTCAGTGGTCTGACTTTGACATGGTCATCATTCAGTGGTCTGACGTTGACATCCCAACCAAGATTTATTTTCATAATTAAGTGTTTACAAGATCAATTCTACACAAGAAAGAATCAAGGCGCCCTCTATGATGGGTGAATATTTTGTAACGACCAGGACTATGGGACTTTTAACTAAAAGTAATTGGTTCACGTGACTATTTAATGCAGAGCCAGATCTTCGCTAAAGATTATGGATTTAACGAAAAACTTGTTTGCACTATCAGTATTACATTTACAGTATGTTAAATGGTACGTTAATTCAAAACACCTTTTTTTAATTAAAAAAATGTCAACAATTTATGTATTGAAATGAATTATTTGCATTATGTTTTAGATACAAACTATATCGTATTAATTATTTATGTTATCCAAGTATAAAATTACTTTGTAATGCAAAAGTTGTTTCAACGTGTTTATAATTTGAGTGGACAACGATTTCACCCCCCTCCCCCCCTACCCCAAACCCGTACCGTGGATCACTTGATCGACATCAGAATTACTGTTTGTGAAACCACAAGCCTCCAAAATCTGAGGAGTCGGGTCTACATGGCGCCTCATTAACATTAGTGGTATAGCAACGGTTGTTTTAGTCTTAGTTCTCTACGGCTTATCTTTGGGTAGGTTAGCAACATATGGGGAGATGACCACAAGGTTACACCGTTAGAATATGACTGGGAGTAAATTAGAATGTGATAGCTTAGGTTGAGCATGTTACAATAGGATCGTCATCATGCTAAAATTTGGCTGAGTGGAAATTAAAATTTGATGTTTCAGTGGCGGTAGTTTTAGAGTACATAAGAGAAAACCGCTATATCGTCAAAGCAGACAAATAAATAAATATAAATAGATAGATAGATAGATTGACAAATAAATAGATAAATAGATTGACAAATAGATAAATATATGGATAAATAAACAGATTAATAATTAGATAAATATATATATATATATATATAAATAAATAGATTTATAAATAGATAGATAAACAGATCGATAAATAGATAGATACATAGATATATAAATAGATACATAACTAAATAGATAAATAGATAGGTGCGTATATAGACAAAACTACAACAACAATAGTCTAGCACCGATTACAAAAAATGTTTGAATGCTTACAAGGGAATCTAGTGGATGCAATGTAAAATAGCGTTTAGTTGTACACTTTTAGTAAAAATTGTGCCATGTTTAACAGTAAAAGAAATAATGTCTTAGAAGATTTCTACCACATTCCAAGTCATTGGGGTCTAAAAAAATTAATGCGTCTTATCTTATGTGCTGCTGTTTGTTTTAATATGTAAAAAAAAAATATTTTGATGTGAATGACAGAATTGTAAATATTGAATCAAAATGTGTACAGTTATCAGCTTGTAAAATTTTTACACTCTGGCATATCAACAATGTCGACATAAATTTTATGTTGACAATTTAAAGATGAAACATAAGAATTAAAACGACCAGTAAGATATAGTCAAAGCAACAACAGAAGGTCTCTCGTAATCTAAATGGTTCTTAGATTGACCAGGTTCTGTGCCGTACCGGCAAATTTATAATTTACCTTTTAGGCAATAACAAAATCAATAACAAAACCACAACTTATAATGATATTAACCGTAAGTTAAGTTTTTAAATGTTTAATACGATGTTTGATTACGTAATATACATTTCAAAACTATTTATGCATTTGAATTATAATAATTTATCAATACATCGGCTTAAAACAGACGGTTGAATCCGAGAGGTTTGCAGCCATGTTCATTAAAAAAATGTGACTGAACTAATTTTTTTTAAAAGCTGTTTTAGTTGTTGCTAAATGAAAATGTATCTGATCTTTTCATAACTTTTAGAATCTTTTAAACAAGTTACTTTTATTGTTTTCATATTTTTTTCTTTGTTTATTTTGAGTGTCACGTCATTTAGACGATCCCTTCTTTTTTGGTTCGTTAGGTCAGTGGTCCCCAAATGGCGGTCCGTGGACCTTCACCGTCGTATGCCTAACGCTGCCAGTCCCCATAACATAAATATTTATTGTCAAATAGAAATTAAAGTATAAAAATAAATCATGCACCGGGCGTTGGTAAAATTTCGAAACTTGTTCACCGGTCCGCCAGACTGAAACGTTTGGGAACCACTGCGTTAGGTAACTCAAAGGGAAATAAGTCATGGTTGTTAGGTAACTCAAAGGGAAATAAGTCATGGTTGTTAGGTAACTCAAAGGGAAATAAGTCATGGTTGTTAGGTAACTCAAAGGGAAATAAGTCATTGTTGTTAGGTAACTCAAAGGGAAATAAGTCATGGTTCTTAGGTAACTCAAAGGATAATAAGTCATGGTTGTTAGGTAACTCAAAGGGAAATAAGTCATAGTTGTTAGGTAACTCAGAATGAAATAAGTCATTGTTGTTAGGTAACTCAAAGGGATATAAGTCATGGTTGTTAGGTAACTCAGAATGAAATAAGTCATTGTTGTTAGGTAACTCAAAGGTTAATAAGTCAGGGTTGTTAGGTAACTCAAAGGGAAATAAATAATGGTTGTTAGGTAACTCAGGGTGAAATAAGTCATGGTTGTTAGGTAACTCAGGGTGAAATAAGTCATGGTTGTTAGGTAACTCAGGGTGAAATAAGTCATGTTAAACATTGACATTTCTTAGATTTAGCTGTTGGCCAGAGAAAGATTAAAGCCGATTACATTTAATCTGCATTGTATATTTGTCTAGTATGCCTGGGGCGTCTTTCAGTTAGATCGAGTTACCGAAGGTCAAGGGTTAGGATCAGTTGAAGAGCTCTTTCAATACAGAGTCACAGGATAACCAAAATGGAATGGGTAGAACTGCACTGGAGGTGCAATGGCAGTAGCAGCAATTAAGTTTGAGCATTAGCAGACTTATCACAGAAACTAGTTCATTAATACTTGTGATGTCCAGAATTTGAAATACTTATATGCAGGGACGTGGCAAGCAAAGGCTTCCCCCTCCCCCCACTCCCCCCCCCCTAGGCAAAGCCTGAATTTAGGCGCCCTTTTCCACAACAATGTATATACTAATAATTAAATACACCACATTTTGTATGAAAACTAAAGACGGGGACTGGAGCAGTTGCCCCCATTCGCCCTCCCTTTCGCATGGCCCTGCTTATGTGCTATAAATGGTTATGTATTTCTTGTTTGTAAATTTTGTTCACTCGTTTTAGATGTGGACGCAGAAATAAAAAAAAGAATATTTGATATTTAAGTTTCTTTATGAGTGTGGCGTGCTGGTGTGTGGTTGTGTCTTATTGTGTGTGTGTGTGTGTGTGTGTGTAGGGCAAGGTCAACACCAAAGTGTTTTAAAATTGTGCCACCAAACAAATCTAGCAGCTATTTATAAAACTTCTAATTTGATGTATTTGGTGCCAACCTGTAGTCAGTATTAGATATACAGTAGAAGTACAGAAAACATACAGTAAACATACAGTAGATATACAGGAGATACACAATAGATATACCGTTTATAGACGCTAGTTATGCAGTAGATATTCACTAGCTACACAGTAGATATTCAGTAGATATACAGAAGGCCAAATATACTTTACATTTTAACATAAAGACATTGAAAGTATTAACGTGGACATTTGAACAAATTCCGATACATGACGTACAGAATATACATACACTTAATATTGACGCATGATTCGAACCATAAAAAGCTTATTGCCCACATATATCTGAGAAGGGACATACTGTGCCCCATAAACTATACCGTTCAATGAGCGTAACCCGGCATATCTACGCTGTTGTTATATACATGGACGGCATTTAAAAGGGCTTTTACGTTTAAAGTGGCCTAAACGTATGATATATGGCCCCCAAGGCAGACACACATGAAATCTTCCACGGGTTACCTTGATCAGATTTACCGGTAAAAAGATTCGCTCCCCTTGCTGGCACTAGACCACACGTGACCTATCTATCGATTCCGGATTCCTTATCAAGGTACAGTTCCATTCTCGAGTTCTCTGCCTTGTTATCGTGGACTCAATGGTGTCGCTTACGGGGGAAGGTGTTTACGCTGACGGCTCATGGCGTTGTGTTTTACTTTCTTAGCACCAGGGAAAAAGGTGGGGCGTTGGGGGGGGGGGGGGGGGGGGGG